AACTCCCTTTGAACAGGAAGAAACCTCCAGCAGAACCAGGCTCAGTGTGAGCGGCCATCTGCTGAGGCCCACTGGGGTTCAAGGAGACAGAAGCAGTTGTTTGGCAACTACTTTCTCAAGAATTTTAGATCAGAAAGGAAGATTGGATATAGGTCTATAATTGACCAAGTCATCTGGGTCAAGAGACGGTTTCTAAAGTTTCAAATAGATCTCTCTCATATTTACACTCCACAGTAACATATACCCTTTTCTTTTTATTATTGCTATTGTTGAATTTCCTTTGGCTTTTGTAACAAATTGCATTTTTAGAGCAAACATTTCCAACTGGATGTATTTATTTGCTAATATTAGTGTACAATTCTGCATGAAATGAAATAAACAGACTGTGCACAGTTGAGATTTAGCCAATTTAATATTTCTATATGTATTTCTAGCTATATTATTATTATATCTGTAATGCTTGAATTTTGCAACATATATCATTATCTATTTTAAAAAGTTGCATAGTTGTCTTCTTTTTTCAGTTCTATCATACATTTATTTATTTATTTATTTATTTATTTATGTATTTATTTATGATTTACCTTTTGATTTGTATATATTTATTTGAGCATGTGAAAACATTATTCAGTGGGAACGTTTGTCCGGAACCTTCTGCTACTCGACCGCGTTTCTCTACGGAACTATTTCTTCGCAGCAAGTCTAGAAGAGTTCTGACAGAAATCTTCACCATGGCCGAGGTGAGATTTTTAGCTTAAATCTCTTTATTTCGTCACATCTTTAATGAACCAAACTGTACTCAGATGTCGGCGGTGATGTTGGGTTCGGGTTAAAACTAATCTAAACCGGTGAGCGCTGTGAGGCTGCTGCTAGCTTGTTCTGCTGCTAGCTCACGGCTTGACTGCTAACATGCTAAGCTACTTTGTTATGAAGACGGGAGATTTTATTTAACTTATTTGAAACTATAAACAGCAAAGGGACAGGTGGACAATAGCTTCACGCTTTAATCGAGGTTAGCTGATTTTAGAAGCGGCTAGCTCTTTCAAGAATAGCTAATATATGATGCTAAGAAGCTGTTCTTAGAAAATTAGCATCTATAAACCAAAACAACTCAGAAACACATTAAAATAAACCCGGATAAGACTCTGCTGTACGTCTACACCTGATGGACAAAGGACATTCTTTAGAGGACCAGAATGTTCACATTTTGGACAAAGAAGACAGGCGGTTAGAGAGGGACGTGAAGGATCCATTTATGTTAAGAAAGAAAAAACAACCTTAAACCTTTCAAGTTGATTCCTTCCCGCTA